TCGAATAGTTTTTTTACAATAAATGTTCAAAGTGACCACGAATTATTTGAGAAAATAAATTAATTCAATTGTATCCGGGTACGTCGTAGGTGTCTAGATAAGCACAATGTTTAAATATTAAACGTATTGCGATCAAAACAGATCAATGTCATGCTATTTTTTCAAAAAATGCTGGATAACATTATTCGTATCTACGTACATGGAGGGTCTGAAGTCAACTGTAAATCATGGGATATTCACCACAGGGCATACTTAATTAAAATAAAATATGTTCCACTCTTTTATAATTTTTTAGAACAATAGCATCATTCCTCCTAGTGCTCTAGCTTGAAAACAAAGCCGTTACGCACCCATGTTCATATAAATTTCGTCCTCAAATTGACCAAGGATTCGGTGGCTAAGGCTTGTCTACATATTTCATTAACACCCTGTATAGGATGTTCCATTTGAAATAAGTGAGTTATTCAGCATTCAGCTTGTCAATGTTTGGACGTGCATCGTAAACACCCTGCATATTCGATGAGGTGAAATTTGAAATAATAGAGTAATAAAGGGGCAGCTTATGTGGACCAGACCATTATGTGTTGATAGGATGTTTTCTCTCATAGCAATGTACCGTTTTGTGGATAACTGAATTTAGACAAAAATGAACAAAATTGTATATCTCAAAAACGAAGCAGGATGTGTTTATACATCTGGTCACAAAATATTTCAAAGGGGATGTAGAAGTCGACAATGTTATAAAATATAGGGGCCGCTACTTAAAAAATCCTCACTTTGGCAAAAGTGGACACCCTTTATACGCTAAAATATAATAAAATAAAACTTTCAATTGATCCAAGAAACTCTTGTATGTAACATTTTTCTGAATAATGGGTGGTTTCTGAGATACGGGGAAGGATAAAGTTATGTATACGTACATTGCATGGCAAGTAGAAACTGTTGATTTTTGTCCTCCTGCACCTTGCTTCATGGGCCTCACTATTGGTTGAATCTCAACACTCGCTTATATGCCTGCCAAAGCTGTCAGCAGTGAGCCTCTCGCGCATACCCTCTTCAGGTAGCTCTTAAAGCAGCCAAGTCCTGTGAGGCACTATGCAGTATAGTAATCTATCCGCATCCCTTGTCAACCCAAGGTTTAATATCTGAGATCAGCCTTCTAGTGCATGTACCATAGCCAGTTACCTTACGAGTGCGTTGGTCGACACCGTCTTGTAACCGCACTGCTACTTATTGCTAGCTTCTGATGAGCAATACCAGACTTGGTTCTTCAAAACAAGACAGTCATTTACCGTCGACATAATAGTACGTTTTATTTTTATTTTTAATTGCTTTTAAAGTGTATAAAAGATGTTTAACTTTAGTCGGTATTAGATGATGAAGTTTTATATGTATCTGGGACTAATAAGCATTTTTGTCCTTTGTCGTAACCACAACCGCCTAATCGACTCGAAATCTGCTTCAAATATTTAATTTTAGTCGGTGGTAGATTTAATTTTGTATGTATCTGAGGTGTAAAAACGTTATAAACAAATACTACAACATTCCATACTATTTCACCTCATCCAGACCGCCAAGTCCACTGCCAGACAAAGTCTATGGGATCAAACCTTAGACTAATCAATAAAATAGCGCCGAATAGTGAATTCACCACTCTACATATGGGAGACCGGGGATGGTTGACTATAGGGTTAGGTAAACTAACCTCCAAAAACTCGTCAACGATATGAGTATTACGTAATCCCAGGCCAGCCGCGCATTACTCTCCTTCCCCCGCTCGTGATTTGTTTTCGGACCATGTAAGTAACATTTTCATATTGCATATTTTTCCATCTGACACTTACACATCTTATGTTAACCATTTGCCTATTAGTCAGAGTGTTTCGTGAGTGCATATTGATAATATTTCATGTATTATTTCTTAAGTTGATGGCAGTGTTTAGGTAACCCATGCCATTGAAACTTAAAATGGCGTCTGGGGTTGGTAGAGTAACTACTTGCGGGGCTGGTTGAATAGTTAGTCAACCAACCCCAATATAATTTGAGGTTTAAAATATCTCGTAAATTGACCTTTTATTCGTGTTTTAATATTCATTTTGTTACAGTACAATGAGGACCTATAAAAGGACTGACCGAGCTGATACACCAAAAGATGTCCTAGAAAGAGCTTGTCAAATAATAATTTTTGACACAAAAAGTATTAATGCAACTTCAAAACAATATGACATCCCCTATAAGACATTACATCGTAATGTGGTGAAACTAAAGGAGAAAATGGAACGTAATCCGAACTTGACGAGACCAGAATTAACTTTGGACTCAGTGGGTTATAATAAAAACAGGTTTCACTGATGAAGAAGAAGAAGCTTTAGCAAGTTATTTAAAGAAAGCAGCTGATATTTATTATGGATTGACACCATATGAGACCCGAAAATTAGCATGTCATAAAAAGTAACAAAGCTATGCCTGATTCTTGGAGAACAATATTGTTAGCTGGCGAAGATTGGTTAGGCTTGTTTCTCAAACGTCATCCTTCTTTAACCATAACGACACCTCAATCAACAAGCCTGTCAAGAGCTACATCATTCAACAAACATAACGTCAGTATGTTCTTCGCTAATTTAATTGCTGTTTACCAACGTTTGAATTTAAGCCCTGGTGATAGCTGGAACGTTGATGAAACAGGTATGTCAACCGTGCAAGTACCTTATACATAGAGTAATAGCACGACGTGCTGAGAGGGGTACACTGGTGACAGTTGCAGTAGCTATTTCAGCTGTAGGAGATATAGACCATTGAAAAAGTATTTCGACCGAGCATGTGACAACTGGCTGGCTAGTAACCCGGGAAAGACTATCATAATTTATGAAATACCGGAGCTGGTTAAAATGGAAATGGAAAATATTCAATCAGGATTCGGAGTATCCGGGATTTCACCGTTGAATAAAAACATTTTTCCTGACTCCGAGTTTAGTGGTTCTTATGTGACAGATAGGCCGATGCCCACTTCCCCTGATGATGATAATCCTTCAGCATGTGACGTGAGCACAGGGTCTGTTCCATCGACTTCTGATGCATCTAACAGGTTGTCTATCATCGAAGAGGTTCCAATTCCTGATCACCATACAATAAGTGAAACTCACTCTCTGGCACCGCAATGTTTATCTGTAAATACATACCAGATTACTACCACAACGCCCTCTCCTACAAGATCTTTGAGGACTAAATGTGAGTCACCTTCTCTTTTGGACGAAACATTCAATTCTGTATTTTAACCGGAACTTAGAGAAAACCTCAAAACACCAGAAAATGTTCATTCCACTGAAGCATCTTTACTCAATCTAAACCTTTCCTCAACATCATCAGCAATATTTGAAGAGCTAAATGACCCTTTCCAAAAGTGGCGCCACTTTTAGAAAATAGAAGAAATATTCGGAAATATATATACCGACACCCCGGAAAAACTAAATATTTTAGATATGAAAACAAAAAAGGAACATATAAGAAAAAAACAGATACAAAGGACAGAATAGAAAGAGGGAACGGCAAAAGGAAAGAAAAGGGCAAAGGGAAAGAAAAGGGCAAAGGAAAAGGAAAGGGTAAAGGAAAAGGAACGGATAAAGTTGATGAGAGTGCTGATGACACCGTCGATTAAAATGACGGTAATGCTGTAGATTCAGACGGCAAGAGTACGATTTGTTTAGAGTGCACTGATTCCTACGTCGATAGTGTTCCAGGCGAACAATGGATTCTGTGCATAACTTGTAAGTTATGGGCTCACTCCAAATGTGTAAGACGTGATCTAATGTTTTTTGAATGCAAACATCGCGCTTCTGATATTGAGGATTTATATTATAAGATATAAAGGAACTGTTTAATGAAACTAATAAATGTTTAAATAAAAACTAGGAGTTGATAGTTTTGTTGAAGACTTATTGTAAGATAATGCCTGTAACTGATTAAAATTGTTTTTGTATAAAAAGTTTTGTTAAATTATAATCATAATTTGTCACTTATTGATACGTAAGTCTACTTACCCCGGGGATATAGTCAATCTACCCCGGAGCCGGGGTAAATTGACTAAGAGTTGGTGTGCTGTAAAATGCATTAAATTATGGTCATTACATTAAATAATGGACTAGTTTTTTTGTTTTTTTATAAGTTCAATAGTTCGTCTATCCATTGATGCAGTTTTATCGTCTGTATGTATAAAAGCACAAAAAATATGTATGATGTAAAAAACTAGTCAACCATCCCCGGTCTCTCCTACTCGTACATGTAGGTGTATATGCTAAGCTTAGTTAGTTCACATAGATGTGACAATTAGCTATTTCAGTCTAATATAGGGTGAACTCAGCACTCCCAGCAAGCATCACTAGCATAAGTCTTAGGAATGTTGCCGGACAGAATTTTGTGTGTGATCTTCAGTACCGGTTGTTTTTTTTTTAAATTGTACAAATCGTCGATTTGGTGATGAACAGTCATAACCCACAAAAAGTGAAAAATTCAGTTAATTCTATTAAACAACACTTAAAAGTACAAACTTTGATTCCTAAAAGGGTCACAACCCAGAACCTTCTGAAAGTCTCCAAAAGACAAGATTTGCTAAAAGAATTAAGCCACATTTTGTTGTGGTGAATAAGTGCAAACGGCTTAGCACTTTTGCCAAATAATTTTCCAAACAGTGTGATCTAATATCCTGTTAAAGTGAATAGTCCTAATCCACACATTGAGGGTTGAATATGATCATAGCCCAGCCGTAAAGTTTTCGCTTTTGATGCTTGATGCCGAATTTGCATTCGCTAAAATAGGTGGTACATATATGAGACCTCCCACTACTAATTTCAAGCATCTTTTTGGTTCAAAATATCCGCGACCTGTAAACAGGGTAAAAAGACAAACTGCCGCCAATATGAAATTTGTATAAGTTGTTGCTAAATTTGTGGCAGGAGACTTCAGGTGGTCGATAGTGGAGTGCCATCTGCGTCAGCGAGCTCAAGATGGGCGCTAAGTACTCGTACATGCTGAACGTGAATGAGAAGCAAAAAGTGAAAAAGTATGCTTAAGACGGTATCTGCTTAGTGGAGAGTACAGTAGGCCAAGAAGTGTCTTCTTCGCCTAAACTAAGTGCACTACAGATTTTAACTTTCTTGTTGCTTTTTTGTTGGCGGTTTGAGTGGCGCCGTGATGAAAATGTCAGTTGGGTTTTTTGTTATATTAGAATTACTGCAATGTGCGACGGTTTGAGATTTTATATCATAGCAAAGCATACTATGAGCTAACCGAACGGAAGTAGAGTTGATGAAAAAGATACTTCATCAGTTATACTGTGCATTTCAAGACGATCAAAAAGTATCGGAATAAATCTGGGAAGATCCAGGGATATTAAAAACTATTCATTGAGATACAAGTACCGCTGAGAATAAAAATTTGAGCGGAGAACATTTTTAAAAAAATGTGAATGGTTAGCTCTTCGAGCTCTTCATTTCAAGTGTTATCCTATCGCATATAAAAGATTTTTCGTAGCAATCGGTATCACAAGTCGCATCAAACTCTAAGAGCTACTTTTTGGATTTCAAAGAAATCTCATTTTTGTGGAATATACAAAGCATTTTAGATATTCGTTCAAAATGCTGGGACAATATATACTGAACCTATTACATGATTAAGTAACATATTCTACACTGAGCAACAAATACCACTGACGTCATAAAAGAGAAGCGCGAGAATCGTGCAATACGTGTGTGAGAAACAGATAGAAGCACCTCGTTGTCTAGCAACCTCAGTGACGAGGCGACGAACACCACCCTCTTACTCTTTCTTCACGCGTCTCTCCCGTACACATTACGTCAGTCATATTTTTACCTCACCGTATATGAAGAGCATAAAAATGAAGTCAGATATCTACTTCGGAAATAGTTAGGGTGTTTAATTTTGCTAGTGTTCCATAGATGATAGCGCTAAAAGTCACTTTCTGGCTTCTCCATTACCTAGTTCGATTGGTTATATAAATATATATATATATATATGCAAGCATTGCTTGAACGTTTTGCACTTAACGATGTGCAATTAGAATTAGAAAAAAAGACTGGAGAATCTATTGCCATTTATGAAGCAGTGACAGAACCAAGCGCTCTAACTCTTTCCAATCTGGATTTATAAATTCATTATTGCTTTCTGCTCCTCTACCTTATAGATGGCGCTTATATGTCTTCCAGATACCATTTCAATGACACTTCAGTATATAATTGGCTATTTTCGGACAGAATACGTTAGACAATGTTTACAATCATCAAAGAGAACGATGTGGATATGTATTGGTGAGACCGATAGGTTTCAAACATGACATTAAACAGCACATCCACATGAAGAAAATTAAGCTTTCCTGATGTACACGTCGTGATAGCGTATCCACCACTGGCAATGCGACGCTTTATAGACACAATGAGCATACCCTAAAGTCACCGGTCCTGGCAATATCCCACCCGTATAATAATTTTTCCTGCAAATAATGACTTACGACTCCGCTCCACAGGTGTTGAAATGTAAATTCGGCAAATTCGATTTTCGTAATTTATGCCTGGGTGTAATTATTGTTCGCAAACAGAAATCGAAGCGGAGTAATCTGCAAATCTCCCCGTATCCACGGCCAGCTTTCAGCTGCAACTAAGCTGGCTGGGTCTCTCTTATTTGTTATTTGTTCTCCTGTCAGCCTGCGATTACTTTTCGGACTAATCGAGATCGCAAGCAGATTATCGCTCATGATAAAGCTTGGACGAATTTTATACAGGGTGAGGCAGTTCAACCAGATATATAAGAAAAAATGGACTCATGTTTCATATATGAAAATCTGTCTAAAGAATCTCGCTAAGGAGTTTTACCCCTTGCTTCCGACGCAATGTTGTCATGAAGTTTGTTTTGGGTTCATGAAATTCTGAGGTATCCCATGAACTTTCGGGTCCAACTAGTCCATTACACTTCTCTAACAGGTACGATCGCTCCTTACGATATGCCTGAGAAGGCTTTCCAGTTCTGCAAACTTCAGGTAGTTTTTAATGCTTGTTGTAATAATGAACTTACTAAAAGGGAAGCGGAGCAATTAACGAAGTTAACTGTGCACATCACAGGAGAGTGACTAAGTATGTCCAAAGAGTTCAACTTAAAGCTTAACCGATTAGGCTTGGTTATGTATGAGGCTCATAAAATTCTCTAAGTGTTAAACGCATGTTTCTGTTTTAAATTCCAAAGTAGGTATAGGAGTTAAATGTGAAAAGCGTGTTTTAATAAATATATACTCTGTTTACCTTCCCAATAATTCAAACACACAAAATCAAATTTTTCTAGTATACATCAAAAATTCTTTGAAAGATCTACTAGCTAAATTTGAGCGATTCTTATATAGTAATTCTAGTAATTTATCCATAACATGACCAAGCCTGGATTCCTTTGCAAACTTACAATGCTTTTATCGTTGTCACTATAGTAACCTTACATATCAGCGACCTTCCTTCCTGTGCGATCGAATAAAATCCACAACGTTGCTGATGAAAGCACTCTACATGCAGGAATTCAGAGCGACATGCCGATCTCTGCCCTGAGCTGGAAAAAAGAAGACTAGCAACGTCTTCCTCCCTGACGAGAGACCTGGAGGTTATTACTGCTTGGGAACCCAACAATCTTATACAGTGTAATGCACATCCAGCCTCGAGTATTAGTCACACGTTTGGGATGCCCCGACTACATTATTTATGCTTGATGCTGTCTAGAGGAGGGCTGTCCTCACTTCGGCCTCCCATCTGAACTGTGTCGAACTTCATACATCCAGAACTGGCCGATACGACAGATCCCGAGGGTGTCGAGATTGTTCTACTAACTTTAGGCAGTTCAAAATTCGGATTAATAACATTTCATAGCAGCCGCGGTGTCCTGGTATTTAGGATTCTGCATGCGTGGCTGCTGGGGTATAAAAAAAAGTTTATAAACTCACTTAACGTAACCTAACTTAAAGCCTCATAACCTGATCTTTTAATTCGATAAAGTAACCACAGTTTGTGCGTAACCATATTACAATAGTCGTTTTAATAAATATATACTCTATTTACCTTTCCAGTAATTCAAACACACAAAATCAAGATTCTTTGAAACATCTACTAGCTAAATTTGAGCGATTCTTATATAGTAATTCTGGTTATGTATCCATAACATGACCAAGCCTGAATTCCTTTGCAAACTTACAATGCTTTTATCGTTTTCACTATAGTAACCTTACATATCAGCGACCTTCCTTCCTGTGCAATCGAATAAAATTAACAACGTTGATGGTGACAGCACTCTACATGCAGGAATTCAGAGCGACAAGCCAATCTCTGCCCTGAGCTGGAAAAAATAAGACTAGCAACGTCTTCCTCCCTGACGAGAGACCTGGAGGTTATTACTGCTTGGGAACCCAACAATCTTATACAGTGTAATGCACATCCAGCCTCGAGTATTAGTCACACGTTTGGGATGCCCCGACTACATTATTTATGCTTGATGCTGTCCTCACTTCGGCCTCCCATCTGAACTGTGTCGAACTTCGTACATCCAGAACTGGCCGATACGACAGATCCCGAGGGTGTCGAGATTGTTCTACTAACTTTAGACAGTTCAAAATTCGGATTAATAACATTTCATAGCAGCCGCGGTGTCCTGGTATTTAGGATTCTGCATGCGTGGCTGCTGGGGTATAAAAAAAAGTTTATAAACTCACTTAACGTAACCTAACTTAAAGCCTCATAACCTGATCTTTTAATTCGATAAAGTAACCACAGTTTGTGCGTAACCATATTACAATAGTCGTTTTAATAAATATATACTCTATTTACCTTTCCAGTAATTCAAACACACAAAATCAAGATTCTTTGAAACATCTACTAGCTAAATTTGAGCGATTCTTATATAGTAATTCTGGTTATGTATCCATAACATGACCAAGCCTGAATTCCTTTGCAAACTTACAATGCTTTTATCGTTTTCACTATAGTAACCTTACATATCAGCGACCTTCCTTCCTGTGCAATCGAATAAAATTAACAACGTTGATGGTGACAGCACTCTACATGCAGGAATTCAGAGCGACAAGCCAATCTCTGCCCTGAGCTGGAAAAAATAAGACTAGCAACGTCTTCCTCCCTGACGAGAGACCTGGAGGTTATTACTGCTTGGGAACCCAACAATCTTATACAGTGTAATGCACATCCAGCCTCGAGTATTAGTCACACGTTTGGGATGCCCCGACTACATTATTTATGCTTGATGCTGTCCTCACTTCGGCCTCCCATCTGAACTGTGTCGAACTTCGTACATCCAGAACTGGCCGATACGACAGATCCCGAGGGTGTCGAGATTGTTCTACTAACTTTAGACAGTTCAAAATTCGGATTAATAACATTTCATAGCAGCCGCGGTGTCCTGGTATTTAGGATTCTGCATGCGTGGCTGCTGGGGTATAAAAAAAAGTTTATAAACTCACTTAACGTAACCTAACTTAAAGCCTCATAACCTGATCTTTTAATTCGATAAAGTAACCACAGTTTGTGCGTAACCATATTACAATAGTAAAGTAAACGTCTGTATTGAAATTGATATCAAAATTGGTTTCTCTCAGACTGTGAGTTTCAGAGCTTATTATTTTTGTGTAAGAGTTTTAGTAAAAACTTTTTTGTATGGATATGTTGAAGGTATGTATTGTATTAATTGAACATCATCCTGCATAAGGATACTTAGGATTGTCAAGGCAGTAAATGAACGCTTTCGACCTAACAAAAATTCCGAAATGGATAAAGTGCAGATTTAGGTTATTCAAGTTTCGTTTTTCAGCATGACAAAAAAAGTTCAGGATCCTACTCTAGGCAGGAACTGAAATATTTTTCGAAAACTTTTAGATTTTTAATTTTTTTGTTACGTAAATATTATTTATAGAAGAAAGTTCTTGAGACAATTTTGTGTCTCAATAAATAAGCTTCAAAGGTTATCTGTGCGATATTTTCATATCTATATTTGTGTAAGGGCTCTCCTTATGCTATTTGTAAATGCCCTTTTCTGATTAATAAAATAGGTTTTTGAGTGATTCACCAAGCCCCATACGTGAATATATTAAAATTACCCAATAAAATACTAGTATATCTGGTGTAAAAACATATTTCAAAGAGAGCAAACATTTCTTTTGAACTTGAGTGATATTTTAGATATTACGCTATTTCAAAACCACTGTGAAAAAACTCATGTAGATATTTATTTGTTATAGAATAATTCTGCGAGACGACATAGGGGCAAGTGGAAACATAGTCCTACGACTAGCAGCAGTTATTCCCAAGCACAAAAATCATTTTTTGTTTTTTGATAATTGGTTTACTTCTCTGAAGCTTCTAGCTACACTATACAAAGATGGAATTTACAGTTTGGGAACTGTAAGGAAAGATAGAATTCATGGCCTTACGTTTTCAAGCGATAATATTATGAAAAAAAAAGGACGAGGCACTTACGAGGAGTATGAAGCTACCATAGAAGATGTAAAACTATTTGCGCTGAAATGGTTTGATAATAAAAGTGTCTGTCTGGCGAGCACTTTTTACAGATCACATCCCATTGACACAGTTGAACGTTTTGACAGAAAATAAAAAACAAAATAAATATCCAACGTCCAAATATGGTAAAAGAATATAATCTTTTTATGGGTGGAGTAGATTTGCTAGATGGGCTTATATCCTATTATAGGATAACACTAAGAAGTAGAAAATGGTACTTGAAAATATTTTTTCACTTCATTGACTTGGTTATAGTTACTGCATGGATTCGCTACAAAGCTGATATGCAGATAGCAGGGTTGGAGAAAAAAGATATATTAGATTCCCTTGGTTTTCGCGCTGAAGTTGCTGAGGGATTATGCCTTCTGGGGAAGAGTGAAAATACACGAAAACGAGGAAGACCAAGTAGAAGTATTGAAAGAAATTTTGAAGAAAGAAAGAAAAGGAGCCAAACAAAGCCCATACCGCAGTTTGACGTGCGAACTGACCAAATAGGTCACTTCCATTGTGAAAAAGAACAAAGACAGAGATGCAAAAAGCCAGGTTGCGGACTGAAAACATTTTTTTCCTGCATTAAATGTAATGTATACTTATGTATAAATAAGAAAAGGAACTGTTTTGGTGAATTTCATATTTAAGATGATTGACCTTTGTTCCAAACCGGACGTTAGCTTATTTTTTTGCTAAAGAAAAAATAAAGTATTTTTCCAATAAAATGTGTTTTTTATACCTATTCGAATATCTTTTTTTTGACGAAAATCTTTTTTTCTCAAGCGTTATTTAAATGTGGACCTTAAGAGGTTAAAAGCAAAAATATCTACTTCCTTGAAAAGAAAATGCAGCGCAACAAAGTTCGACCTTTCCTAGCTATTACTTTCAAGCAAATTTTCTTGACATTATTTAGCAATAGCTCGGACACAAGTAGACTAAAACCTCAATAATAACAGGTTGAGGAGTTAAAATTATACTCCATTATAGGTACTAGGCATCTCCGGTTGTTTTCGATAACAGCCGCGTGACACACCTTAGTTGTCTCGTCAGAAATTCTGCAATATAGCCGCGTGAGCCAGGGTCGTTCTCTCAGTCCTATATAAGTTATATGGGGCTGAAACACCACGGCTGTAAACGTCTAAACCTGTTTTTGGTTTTTGGATCCGTGACCGATGAGTAGGTACTCATGGCCTGATATATACGTAGATAATTAAAACGAAAAATATTGCAAAGGAACGTCTTTATGAAGTGGAATACAACAAAAAAATATATATATATATATATTTCTCATAAATATAAAACAAAAAACATGAAAACACTCAACAATTATTTGGTACACTTATGTACCTGGAAAAAACACTTAAGGCAAAAATATTTTTCACATGCACTTTAGTTTTGTTCGCGGAGTTTTTCTTTGTGCCTGAGCTCGCCCAGATTCTATTTGAAGCTTTTCATAACAAAAAACGCATCGACGTCGGTTGTTGGTACCAACATCCTCCAAAGAATGTTGATCTTCAAAAACACTATGCGTATGCTGATCAACGTCAAAACCTAAGAGTCTGTTTACGATTTCCTACTTGAATTTTGTGATGGACATTTTTTCGTTGGCTACTTCTTGGTGCAAAACATGTGCATTTAATAATAATAAGAAGCTCAATATCCAGCTTGCGGTACCACTTCACCCCTCTGCGGAATGAGCTGGTATAAGACTTCATTTGATCCGACAAGTCAATATAGGCTTCAAGTTTGTTGTAGTCAATCTCAGCAGCAGGTTTTTGCAATTCTTTATTATTGCTAGCTCTGATGATTAGTAACTCATCGGTGTGTTTTGTGGATAAGGTAAGCACATCTCTTTTGTCCTTCCACTTCTGGATAATTATACCTCAGTTGCTTAAAGCTGCCTGAGTTCTCCTTTTTTAAGCTTTTTATCAAGAACTTGTTTAGGATTCATTTTCGATTCGATCGGAGAGTCCCAACTAACTGAGTGTTCTTGGCAAGTAAAGCATGTGCCAACTCGACACTTGTACAAGCAAGTCCTTTGCAAGAGTGAGTACTACTTTTTGGGATGAAGATTGACCCTCTACCTTGTCTTGTCCACAATAAATCAACATATTGTAAGTATATCCCTTTTCAATGCAGATTTTGTATAGTTTTATTCCAAACTTGTGCTTTTATCTTTAATTTATTCTAGAAAAGACAACCGACCTCGGAAAGGAACAAGGGATTCGTCAATACAAAGAGCTTCGGTCGGTGTAAAATTTTGATTGAGTTTTCTGTGAGAGGCGATATTTTCTGCAGTCTATCTGTGAACACATTTTCATTGTTGCTGAAGCGCCACATTTTCAACATTATTTGGAATCGATTACGAGACATTCCAGATTTTATCGCATTCTGGTATATGTTCATTCTTGGCCAATATGATTCAATACTTGGGTGTTGAACAAGAGCCATCCAGATCAGTATACCAATGAATTTTTTCATTTCGTCAACACTTGTATCCTGCCACTGATGAACTCTAGCCCCTCGTGTAACTTCTTTAGCCAGACACTGAGCTGCGTACCTGTTTCATTCCGTGACCATCATTTTGAACAATTAATCATCTACAAATAGATAGTAGAACGCCAGGGGCGATTTATCATAATAGTTTGCATAAAGTTGCATATTCACTCCGGGATTAGGTTCTGTAAATACGAAATGCTCCAAATTCGATCCAGTTACGGGACTCCAAATAAGCTGGTCACCATCAACAGATTCTTCGTCACTACTACGTGCGTTTCGGTAACAGTGGTTCTTCTGTAGAATCGTCGGATTCATGATCGCTACTTGGAACGTATTCTTCAGACGATTCACCAAACGGCTGATCGACATTTTCGTCAGATAAGTTTACAGATAGACAGATAAACAGAATTTTATATATTTTTTACTTTTACATTGGCCTATACAAAAAAATGGCAGGGCATCGTCACTAGTGACTCACAATTACATATTTCAATATACAGGGTTATCCAAATTAAGTGTCCACCATTAGTAACTTTGTTATTAGTGAAAATACAAAGTTGTTTGAATAAGCAAACTAGTAGCATTTTTAACGCTGGTAAAAATGAGAAATAAAAAAAAAACAATTGAGAGTCGTTATTTTGATTTTTTTCAGTAAAATAACATTTTTTTAAATGGAAACCCCTGTATATTATATTTTTTTCTGTTAAAGCATCAAATTTTAAACAAAAAAGCTTACAATAACTTTTCTCCTAGGTTACAAATTGTTGAAGTTATGGCCTCCAATCTGAAACAATTAAATTGTATCGACAAACTTTATTTTCAACATCAACTTATAATCTTACAAAATACAATAACAATTTTTTTTAAAGAAGATGCTCGAAAACACCACCTTGTTCTTCAATACATTTTTGGGCACGTTTTTCAACTGCTCGAACTGTCTTAAGTATGGTCCTACCATCTATCTGGGTTATCTTTTCCCTAACTGCAGTCTTTAACGCGTCAAGGTTATCGTACCATCATTGTTTTCCAAAGCCTTCTAGTTGCGAGTATGTCCAGTTTAACAATTTGTCGCTTATCTTAATGCTGTCAAATCGCGAACGCCATGTTGTTTTCATAGCCGTCTTAATATTATAATACTGCAAATAATTAAAAATATTTATCGTTATTTTGACTTTATTTTTGACTTTAGCGGAAAAGTCATTATGAACTTTTTTGTTTAAAATTTGATGCTTTAACAGAAAAAAATATAATATACAGGGGTTTCCACTTAAAAAATGTTATTTTACTGAAAAAAATCAAAATAACGACTCTCAATTGTTTTTTTTTATTTCTCATTTTTACCAGCGTTAAAAATGCTACTAGTTTGCTAATTCAAACAACTTTGTATTTTCACTAATAACAAAGTTACTAATGGTGGACACTTAATTTGGATAACCCTGTATACAAAACATTTACCTGCCACAATTGCTGCAACCGCCTTTACTCTTTTTCATAAGACATTCATTTGATTGAACAAACAATACAAATTTCATAGGTTTACAACTCAAGCTTCTAAGCAAGACTGGAACAAATCCGATGAATACCGCATAAACTAGACTGAGACAGATTAAGAGCATTTGCTTCTGATACATTGTCCGGCTCGCACCGGCCGACCGGTCGGTACAAGTCGGTGAGACGCAACATTTGTTTCACGCGGCCATCGGGTAAAAATTTCATATGTTGAGACCGCTTGACCATGCGGTGGGTCTAACCAAGAAACATGAAAAAAAAAATATGAAAACAATTTTTTTTTTTAAAAACAAAACCTCACGGGTGTTCTAGGATACTAAAACTGGCATTTGGAAGAAAAAAATTGGCTCCAGGGACCGATTTTTTTAGTATTACGGCAGTCAACGCGTTAAGAACATCAATTGTTTGATGATGCTGGAACCAGAGACATGTCTCTATAGCATTCCCCGTTTACCGTCACGCTGTTACCATCTTCATCTTGAAAAAAGTAGGGACCAATAATCGCACCACTCCAAAAGCCGCACCAAACAGTTACTCTTTTTGGATGCATTGGTTTTTCTATGACGACATGCGGATTTTCAGAACCCCAATCCTGCAGTTCTGCTTGCTAACGTAATCTCCCAGATGGAAATGGGATGCGTCCGAAAAGATGCTTTGGCGACCAAAATTGACGTCCGTTTCCAATGGATTTAGAGCCCACACAGAAACGATATCGAAGCGGCTGTTGTTTCAACTCTTGCACAAGTTGCACCTTATAGGGAAATAATCCCAGGTCGTTATGCGATATTAGCCACACAGGAGTGCGACTGATGCCCACTTGTTGTGCTCTGTGAACAGCACTCACTTTGAAAATAGATTAAAACGATCCATTGCTCACTGCGGAAGTTTGAAAGAGTACATCTGGCAATATGTTGAGCATGGAGGTGTGTCCAATTGTCAAAATAATACGCACTTAAAAAAACCAACTGATGACCCTCCCTTTACTTAGTAATAAATTATTGAGCGAGAATATTTCCTAGTGCGTTTACAAGAGAAAGGAGGAATCTCTTCATGTGTTGACAAATCTGAGATCTAGCATATTACAACGAATATGGCAAAAAAGCAACTCATACTACCATTGTTTGCAATATGACCTACCGTACATTGTCTTGATCCTCAGCAATAATGTGGCTCACCCTATATAAACACACTCAGCCGTCCCGGTGCAATTTTGAAGTACACGGTCCGGTTATTCTCAATATGCCGCGTCGTGCAGCACTGATCTGCGATGTCGATAATTGGGGTGGTCCACAATGGCCGAGAAACCCTTCTATTTTGGCAAAATGCTGGGCGATGAATGCGGGTACGTGGGAAATGCGACGGATTAAGGGAAGAAAAGGGCGCGTTGACAAGTTCGAAGGGCGGGAAGGTAAAGGGTATGGACATCTGTGGTTGAAAACGCGACCGATGTTTGATCTAGTTCAGAGGGTGGGCTGTGAATCATGGCGATTGTTTTGATATTGACGGCTGTAAAATGGTACTAGGTTATTAATGTTTATCGTGGTGGTGCTTCAATACCCATGTGGTATCCACTCAACCAAATGGGTTTAGGTCAAGTTACTACGAATATTGGAAGGATGTTTTTAGCGCATATTGAGCATCACAATCGTTGGAAATCCAACTGACTAGTATAAGCTCTGTACACATACATGTTTTGATTTTTGTTATTATCAGTAGAAGAGTTTTACGCACCCGCTTTTATCCAGGACGTGGGTTTGGTGGGTAATGTGAACGAATTCGAACAAATTAGAAGAAGCTTAGCCTATATGTTTACAATGCATTGTTTGTCGCCAAAATTGTATAGTTTTAGTGCATACTATTGGCTAACTTGCCTATCATTGCCTGCCAAAGTGCAAATCAGAAAACGGCGTACCTTACTTTCTCTGGAAAATATATTAGAGCAGATTTTCGTACTGGATATACTCACGATGAGCAAGGCAGAGCAAAGAAGCAAGAGAGCAAATAATGTGTTTAACGGTACACCATATGAAATATTCTGCTCAATGCGTGATTTTGGAAGGTAGAAAATATTGAATAAATGCATATTACGAGCAGTATGAGACAGAGTGCCTAAGGGCCTTTTGATCATGAAGACGTGATGGCGATGAACATCAGCATGGCAAAAGCACTGGTAGGTGGCGATTTTCATCTTTTGAAGCTTACCATCGAGCAAAAAAACAGGTTCGGGTTATATGCAGCCGAAATATCCAAGGAATAGGTTTAGTTAATACTGTCGATATGCAAGAATTTCTACTAACGTTCAACAGTTTTCTTTTAACTTTCAAGCTTCACCAGTGGAAATTGTTGATTTTTGTTCGACGTTGTTACAGGCGAACGAAATGGGTATACTTATCCGAATATAGCTTTGAAAAAAACTTAAATGTCACAAAACCTACTCTGAATGGGGAAGTAGGCATCTTATCGATCTTAAAAGGAAAACAACAGATTGTTATCCACGTATCTTATTTATAGGTATGCCTTCATTAACACAACGCGGTCAATATAAAAACTGACTGACTTGCATCTGCTATAACTTTGAAATAAAATACCCTCGGAAAAGATGAAATAGATCATTTTATCGAATGTTAGAAATCGTGTATGAAAAATGATATTACAGTAGTGCCCGCCTTTGCGCCCTCTTGCATATTACAACATTTTCCATCGATTATATTAGCTTCTGAAAATTGCTTTTCAGCTACTCTATTATTGTCAAAACGTTGGCATTAATCTTTTTTTTAAATCTCCATTCAAGGAGGGTCGCTAACGTCAAACGCCCTGAAGCGTTCTTTTCA